TCTTCGCTTCTCGATGAGTTTACTAGCCAAAGGGTTTAGCTTGAGTTTGAATACGAGTACACATTCTTATGCGAGAGAGAGAGAGATGGAGTTTTAGAGAGAGAGATGGAGTTTGGGTTTTAGAGAGAGATGGAGTTTTGGAGATAGAGACAGAGTTTGAGTTTTAGGGAGAGAGATGAAGTTTTGAGAGAGAGAGACGATGATGTGAGAGAGATGGAGTTTGGGTTTTAGAGAGACATGGAGTTTTGAGAGAGAGAGAGACAATGATATGAGGGAGAGATGGAGTTTTAAAGAGAGAGAGATAGAGTCGTTTCATAAGTTGTTGAGGTCAATAATACATGGTCAAAAGGGTTTAGGGGGTTGGAAGATAGAAAAGATGGAGTCTTTTTGCTTACAAGTAATATTTTCAATTTTTAGGTCTGATGAGATATAGAAGTTAAAAACATGAGATAATAAGATATTTTCTCCCTTTTTTTTTTTTAAATCACAAATAAATGTGATTTTCAAAATTATTCAGACTTATGCAATGACGTCCATGTGGATGCCATGTGGCACTGAGTAGCCATAGGATGGCCACGTGGCACCATGGACCCCTCACATTGGGCCCCCCTTATTTGGATGCAAATTCCCATCCAAGGGAGACCCTATGGCTCTTGATTACTTATTATTTATTTCAAACCTTGTTATATTGTTAATTATGACTATGACTTAATGTTGGTTTTTTTGTCATATGCTTAAATGTCACACATGTGACATGCTTGACTTGTGTAGAACCAAAGCACTTATTCAAATAAAATAATATTTTTAAAATATTGTTATCCATATGGGACACATGCCTTGTGAACATTTCATGTGGAAGTGCCCCATTGATGTGACTCGTGTGAAATGTGTAAGGTGCATGTAAATGGTGTGGGTTGAGTAAATTCTATTGGTGGTGTCACAACCCAGCCTTATGATTGATACCTTTTACCAAAATATCCTTACCCTTGACCATTTTCTGCACATAGATTTATTAAAAACTCAAGGGGTCTTTATGTAAAGCCTTTTTGGATTTGATTGGAATTAATATATGGGGACAAGGACAAAAGGGTAATGTGGCTTTGATTTAAGGTTTATGAGGTGATAAGGTGCTTAAATCTCATCTATTTTTTATTAGTTGGATAGGGATGAGTGGTTAGGATAATTAGCCTCTTATATACTATTGATGAAGTGCATCAAGGGTCATGATCAATTCATAACTTATACACTTTATATAAATACACTTAGAACCCAAATTCAAACCCAAACAAAACACTTTTCATGAATCAAAGAGATAAAAAAGAGATCAAAACTAGGCCTCCACATTGAGCCCCTTTGGGTTCATGTTCTTGGTTAGAAGATGATCTTTTATGGAGTCCCTTCCTTCTACAA